TAATTTTTTTCTTATATAACTTATTTTTTGACTTTTTTTATTATAATTATTTGAGTTTCTTATTCTTATTTTATGTTTTTTCTTTCATTCCTTAGTGAAAAAAAATTAAACTATTTTTTTGTCAATATTGTAATTTAATTTTTGTAATCGAAGAAAAAAAATTGGCCATCTACAATAAGTTTTACAAGAATATTAATGAAACGTAAATAAATTTGATTATCAAAATAATAACTCTAAACTAGTCATTGAAACAAAAAGAAGGTCAAAAAGATATGTTTGACGAGGATTAAATTTACTCATATGATTTTTTTTTCATTTCCGTTAAAGGAAAAAGGTATATGTTAGCCATTTGTATATGAGTAATATATGAGTCATTTTCATAACAAGGGGTATATCAACTCCAAATGACCAAATTGAGTGATATATCAAACCCTTTTCCCTTTATATATTAATTTTTTGCTAAAAAAAACTAATTCTAGACCTAGCTAACACAGGAGAACCTCTTTGTCATTTTAAAATCTTTTTAAACTTAGTCACGGATAATTGTCCCAATAAGTGGGCGTTATGGGCTTAATGAGTTAAGAACCAAAAGCCCAATTACCGTCTGCGTCACGGACAATTGTTCAGCCCAGGCCAATAATAGTGGGGCGTTATGGGCTTGATGAGCTTAAGAACCAAAGCCCATTACAGTTCGTCTGTGTTTAATTGTCTAGCCCAGCCCAATAATGGTGGGGTAGGGGCCCGGTGATTACGATCAATTTTATTCTGATTGTTATTCATTTTTGGAAAAATTTATATAATGACAAACTAATAGTTCAAATTTAATGTTACAATCCCAATTTGATTTAATTGTTCCTTGTACCAAATTGTTTACTAGTCGCTTCTCTCGCTTATACAAACAGAAACAAATATATAAATTGTATTTTTGTTTGTATAAAGCGAGAGAAAATTGCATATCCACATGCAATACATATATTGTCATCCTATACATTTATAATTATATAATACAAATTATACAATTGATCTTTTGTATATAACTGATTTCTTTTGTATATGTATAGCGAATTATACCATTTTTTTATGTATATAGCAAGATATACATATTTATATTTTCTATGGAACACAATTATGGAAAGTGTCACAACTAATATTTCTTTTCACCGAAAGTCACTCACTTTAATTTATAATCTCAAAATCACTTATTTACGTTTTTTTTTTTCATAAAAAATTACTCAACTAATAGTTGTTTTCACAAAAAATCATTCAACTTTTTTTATAATCTCAAAGTCACTTAAATATGCATTTTTTTTTATAGAAAGTCTCAACTAATAATTATTTTTCCAAAAAGTCATTCAATTTTATTTTATAGTTTCAAAGTCACTCAACTATGAATACTGTACCTACAAAGTCACTCAACTATTGATATTTCATTTGGAAAGTGACCAATCAATTGAAATTTCTTTCATGAAATTTTATTGCAATACAATTTTGTTAACAAAATAATAAGATTCTCATTTTAATTATTTTGTTTAACTTTTTTAAATGTATTTTTTGAAAAAACAAATTTCTAAAAAAGTAATAAGATTATTATTTTCATTACATTGTATTTATTGAATTACTAATATATTTTTATAACAAATCATTATATATATATATATATATATATATATATATATATAAATGATATTTTTTTTCAGATTTGAATCATTCAGATCGATGAAATAAGGTTTTATCAAGTTAATAGGACTATAATACTTTTTAAAAAATTCTGTTTCAAGAGTTTGATATTTTTTTCTTCATCACAATGAGTAGTCTATTTTGCTCAATCTCCATATTTTCTTGATTTAACAGGAAAAAAAGAGATGAGCAAAAAAATATATGGTTTTAACTTTCTAGTACATTGCATATGGCCCATAGGCATCACTTTTGATCCTCAAAATCCAGTTCCATGTGAGAAACTATTGGAAGTTGAAACTTTAAAAAGCATTAAATTAATTCTTCAAAATAATGCCATATCCACCATCATCTAATTTTTAATATATTTATATAGTACTATATTTTTATGATACTTTTGTTCCTTTATCTTCTGAGTTCTCATCCAATCAATGAATTTCAACAAGTTGCATATATACAATTTTTAATATTTTAAGTTTTCCTTCTAAGATGTTCTAAAAATCTCATCCATATCCCAATCCTGAAAAAGTGTAGTTTGTCATTTAGTGTTTATTCTTCCCTACCAAGTACTCTTTTTCTATATTTTTAATAATAAAACATATCTTTTCTATGAGAACAATATTTAATTATTCTTTCTCCAACCTTTCCACCCACTCCATGATCAAAAGATTTAATAATCCAAAATCAACAGCTCTAACAAGGATTTAATAAGCCAATAATTAATAACTGGCTAACATCATAAACTAATTATAAGGTGGAAAGAACTATTTTTTAAAAATTTGTTCTTAAATATATATTGTATTTGGATCGGACATAATTTGAAAGTTGATTATTTCACATTCATACTCTTTAAGTCGTATTAATATGGATTTTTGAGAAAAAACATTGTAAACTTGAGCAAAGGATGAATAATATTATTTCAACTCGTTTATTTAGTAGTTATTTTAGCCCATAACTAGTAGTATTATTAGAGTCGATAAAATTTTGTTAACTATGAATAACGAATGACGTAAGTGACATGGAATAAATATTCAAATAAATTCAAAATAACAATGCAATAAATCTATAGATAAACCCAAAATCATAATAATGCGATCATATAGAACTTTGTTCAAGATGAAGATATATATTGAAGTAAACAAATGTTCAAGTTCCATTTTAGAAAAGCTTCAAGTGTGAACTAATTAATAATGTAGGCCATTTACACAGCAACCATCGAATTTTCATATGCCAAAGTCAATTAAATTTGAAAAGCTTGATTAAGTCGTATTTGGCATAATTGTTTCTTTTTCTGTTTGAATCTTGAAATTAGAAAAATTTGTCTTTTACCTTTTCAAACTTCAAAAATACTTATTTGTTTGAACTTTTACATACCTCCAACATTGTCAACTCGTCCATTGTAACCAATCATTCAAAATTGGTCATTTTTCAACCTTTTAATTTGTAAAATTATCACTATGATTAATATGATCCCTCCACCTTTCACCAATTTTTCAACCTTTTTGTAAAATTATCACTGGGATTAATATGATCCCTCCACATATAACTGTCGTTTCGTTTGAATTCAAGTTATGATTGGATCATAATCGTTTGAATTCAAGTTATGATTGGATAAATTATGATGAGATTATTTTTTATTGAGTTTTTGATTTGTTGTATTCAAAATAAATAAATTTTAAAAACAATTTATTAGTTTATAAAAATAACCTTCATGTATGTAAAAAGTAATGTAATAAAAGGGTTGAAAGAGATATTTTTGGTCATTTAATTATTTTATCTAAGGATTACTATACCACCCAAAGGGAGGGATAACTTATCCAGAGACTAATTATTAATTCCGGGATAAGTTATTCCGAACTTGTCAACCAAATAACAAACTAAATGGTACTATAATTTAATCACATAACTATTTGGTTTTAGATTTGAACCTTGAATACTACTAATTGGACCGAAGAAAGTATCTCCTATTAGGGTTTGGTGTATCAAAGAGTCGCTCCTCCAGTTGAATTATCGGGTCCCTTTTCCGTTGCCTAGGTTACACTTTCGAAATACCCTGTAAGGGAATTTTTTCTACTCCCCAAAACTTCACTTTACATTTTATGCCACGCCGACTCCTTTATTACGCGTGGAATTAGACCAAGGGGAATCTCTATTAGAACTAGTCCCTTATGTTTCGCACATAGGAGACCTAGACAGAACCCCAGGGCTATGGAGACAACAAGTATCTATTTCTCCTCTACTCGATCGCTTTTGTTATTGGCGATGTGCGTTTTCCCCTAATGAATCTCCACAATATAATTTAAAAGATCGAGACCTCAAAATAGGTATCAAACATCGAGTGAAAATTCAAAATAATAATTTGTTGACTTAAAAAAAAAATTCAAAAATAGGATTTAACAAAAGATTTTAAAGAGAGGCTGGCTGGCTAGATCATCTATATAGGGGTAAATAGCACTTATTAAGTGTAGCCATATGTTATACAATCATCAGTTGATATTATTAGGTTTAACCCTAATAAGATGTGAATTCAAATAGTAGCTGTCAAAGCCAGCCAAACCCCACCCACCCCTTTTAATTTCTGCAAGAAAAACTAATTAAAGTGAAAGCAACTGGCTTTGTTTGCCCATAAACTGACATACTTTAGCATTTATACATATTCCATGTCCCCCTCTCTATGCCAATTATATTTGATAAATATTTATTATTTTGGTACTCTTCCTAAATAATTTGGAAATATCTACACTAATATAAATGGCTTGATCTTATTACACAAATATTTGACTAGGTAGATCTATCTAACCAAGTAATATAAATGGCTTAGCTTGTACCAAAATATTTATAAAGATCTACCTTTTACATATGTTAATTTCCATTTTCCAATTTCAAAGCTTAAGAGGGTATCACCGTATCGATCAATCAATATCAATAAATGGGATAATAACAGCTTCATCCTATCCCATGCACCAATGCCCACATTTTCACGCATCAAAATAACTGCTTGCTAAAGATTATGTCTTTTTTTAAAAAAAAATAAAATAATAATAAATGTAATGGTAATGTTTGGATAAGTTTGTGTCTGTATATAGCGTTCAACCATCTCACCGTCATTTATTATCAAAAAGAATTTTTTAAGATAAATGATTTTGATCGAATTGTCAAATGTATAGTAGCTCATCAACTAAGGCTAGAATATAATTGAACCATTGAGTGGTGAGAGTGCGAAAGCTTTTTATAAAGTGTTTTTTTAAAAAAAAGGCAACTTGTTTGGTTATTTTGTCTTTACATTTATTTGGACATTATAGAAGCCATTGTCTTTTATTTCCAGAGATTTCTCTTTATTCAGTCATTGAAAGAGAAATTTTAATATATTTTCTGAAACTCTTCAGAGACTTTAGGTGTGAGCCCACAACGAACACAACTCCCTTTGTGCCCATAATATTTTGTCTTTTTCCCAAATTTACTCTCTTCTATTCTAAGTTTCTAACTATATATACATCTCTTTAGGGAAACAGTACAAATATTAAAAAGAAAAATAAAATGAAGATTCAATGTGATGTTTGTGATAAAGAAGAGGCATCAGTTTATTGTTCAGCAGATGAAGCCACACTTTGCCAAAGCTGTGATTATCAAGTGCATCATGCCAACAAGCTTGCAAGCAAACATCTTCGTTTTTCTCTAATTCATCCTTCGTTCAAAGATTCTCCTCTTTGTGACATTTGCCAGGTACTAATAATATTCGAGTTTGGTTTCACAGATGATCACTCAATTTAAAATTATTACGTCAAAATGTCACTTGATCTGATGAAGAAAATTGAATTAAGGAAGGTAATTTTTCGAGATAACAAATTATTAACAACATCTGAGAAATATATTGCAGTGTAAAATTTTTGCACAATCAACAATTACTACTGAAAAATATTTTAATTGAATCAGTGAGAAAAAAATGTTATCATATGAAAAAATTAGGAAGTTCCCGACTAATATAGTGATAATTTATTTATACCATGCATTTCCTCCGGTGAGCTAATTCAGTAGAACATGAGAGGAAAAATCATGATCTATTAACACATATACTAGCGATGAGCATAAAATATGGGCTGATAGTAGAACTTATTTAATTTTATGGTGTATAATGTAGAAAATTAACATTTATTTCTTATTGTATTTTATTTTCAGGAAAGACGTGCATTGCTATTTTGTAAAGAAGATAGAGCAATACTTTGCAAAGAATGTGACTTGCCTATACACAAAGCAAATGAACACACAAAGAAACACAACAGATTTCTTCTAAGTGGAGTGCAGCTATCTTCTGATATACTTGCTTCTAATTATAATAATAACCAAAATTCAATATCCCCAGCTGGATCTGCTGCAAGTAATGCTGGTACAAATAATTTTAAAGCACTTAGTGGAAATTTTGGGATGAAGAGTAATTCGATTTCGAGTACTACAGAATCGACACATAACTATTTTCATGTTGATTATGTACAAGAGGGTTCTGTTTCAACTAGTAGCATATCAGAATATTTGACTGAGACTCTTCCTGGTTGGCATGTTGAAGATTTTCTTGAATATCCCTCTTCTTCTTCCTATGGTAACTGTTTCTTTTTTACGGATTTAAAAATGTCATTAACTCGAAATATGGGCATTTTTGGATCAAATTATTGACAAAAAGGAGCATTTTAGACCAATATTATTAACTGATGACATATTTGACCATTTTTGAATATAATAAAATTTTCAGAACTTGCAACTAAATGATGCTGTTTGATTGCAGAATTTTGATCAGGTACGACCAGATGTGTAGTTTTTTCCCCCACTAAAGTGGGGATACCTCATAATATCAAATGGAGTACCTGTTCCACAGATCAACTCTCCATCAACCTAGCAACTTATAGGACAGACTTGGTAATAAGGGCATAATATCTTTTAAGATATTAAGAAAAGAGTTATATAAACTGCCATCTGACCTTTTCTTTTGGTTACTAACTTTGACCAGTTACTTTGTTTTTGGACATGTAACACATGTTGTAAGTTAAAGCCCCACTGTTCTTTTTTTTTTTTGGTTATTTGTTTTTTGCAAGTCAAATCACTTCGACTTGTTGCAGTATGTTAACCTGAATGGGAATGGGTATTACTAGATGTGGGTACTTTTGTTTTTTTGCTTTGTGGGAGGCCAATCTTTTTGTAATGCTAGTGGGAAAGCCTTGTGCCTATTACCCACTTTGATTATTGAATATGGTATTCCTATTTGTTCAAGTATTCATGGCCAAATCAATTATTTATGGAAGATTGATGCAAAGATATGGCATCCAAGATTTTCGACGACGACCTTTCTAGGCAATCAATGTCAGTTCAATCATTTATAATCTACACCACGTTAATGCACAATGACAATCAAAATAACTAGTTCAAATATGAATTTTCAATATTCATTTTAGATTATGTATTGGAACACATTTCATCTTATATTCAAAATTTTAGATTATGTACTACTCGAGCTTCTCTATATTAGTACATAAATTGTTTAAACATGAAAGACTCGTTGAATATAGTCTAAAGTTAGTATGGTATCATGGCTATGCCTTATTCCGAATTGAGTTCTATAGCAGTAGACCGATCCATGTGACCTTACTAAAAGCTCATATGAGAATATTCTTTAAATGAGGGTGATGGGATGTTCTGCTTCTACTGGAAAAATTCATTAACAGTGTTCGGTAGGAATAATATTCATATTAGTTATGCGTTAAATCTTTGATATAACTTGTCTACAAACCCCACTCCTAAAATATCCTATGAAATATCTATGTATGATTATCTATGTATGATCATTGGAATCCAAGTAGTCCATATATCACATTGCACCTAAGGAATATACAAACCGGACTAGCTGGCGTGCTTGTTAAAGCTTCTGATTATTACATGTTGAAGACATTGAAGAAAGGCAAGTTAGTAGAAAAACAAAAAAACAATTCCAAGTGAAGATTTAAATTCCGAATAACCAAGAAACCAAAAAGAAATATACCATGTGGAATAACAAATAAAGAAATGTCAGACCAAAGAGAACAAGATTATAGCCCCTACAAGCTCAAAATTTTTTTACTTACACGACACAACATTGTGACTGCAGTAGTGTTCTCTATATACTACAGTTGAAGTGCAAGGAGATCAAACTGTGGACAGAAGCAACTCCCTGAGTTCAAATAGTATTCGACCGTGTCCTTTGTCCCCAGTGTCTTTCTTATTTACAGTTGATTGGTAGATAAGTGGGGAAAAAAAAGGTATACTGTTGACATTACATACAGTTGATCAATTTAAAGAATTGTTCTGAGAAAGCGAGTTTCACAAGTGTGAAGAGAACCCTCCTACAAAGAGAGGGAGAAAAGTAAGCACCTTATTGCAAGTTGTGACTTCAGAATTTATGCATATTTGTAAAATAGAATGGGAATTCACGATGAAACAACCACCAACCTTTCACCATAGCTTAAGCACTTGAAATGGCGTCTCAAGTAAAGACAAAAATCCTATCTGCAATTTCAGTCCGACAGATTGGACACTCGGCACAGGCAAGGGAACAAGATTTACACACTGCAAATCAAGACTACATTAGACAGATCCTACCCAAGGGAGTGAAGATAATCTGAGCACATAATCAGAAAGTTGACTTACAGCAAAAATGTCGGCAAGGAAGGAGCATTGCAGAAGTTAGTGATTCGAAACAGACTTTACATACATGTGAATTTGCATCTGCATTCCCCACATATGTGTGGTCCTTTTCCTTCATCTCATGCATTCGAGCCTGATGGCGCACACATAAAAGATCTTTAATACTTTGTCATATTTTGAGTCACCAAGGAACCTAAAGAAACAACAGTTGTTATTAGTAGTTTCTACCTATGCAAGAACCTAAGCACTAACAGGTATTCTGTTACCCATGTTATATCAAGTTTCCCGTTTTAGGTTCCATCTCAAAACGCTCGACACGATTTCATTAGTAATATTACACTACAGAGTCAAATTCTTCTAAGAAATACAATCTATTTGACTGTCAAAATATTCTTTTATAACTAAAACTAACTGTCAGTTCAACATTTTCTTGCATTACTACTGTTAATTATATCCCAGTCAAGAACAGTAGGACTAGCCTGAAAAGCCTCCAAAGATTGACGAGGAGCAGTTCATAAAATGGCTAACATTGTGGCTCCTAGTTATGATTCATTGAAACATTTCTATATTCCACTGAACTAACTTTTCAACCATTACTTTGATATTATCTCCTGTTATCAATAAAATCAAACTCAAGTAATATTAGCAACTTAAACGCCATCATCAGTTAAACACGAGATAAAATGGGACAGTTGGAATAAATGTATATCAAAACCCATGACTTGCAGATGTTGGACACTTAGGGGTCGTTTGGTAGAGTGTATAAGAATAATGTTAAATAGGGTGTACTGGTAATGCTTACATTAGCAATATATGTATTAGTTATGCTTCCATTAATTTTACATAGATTACTTTTATGCATAGTTTGGTTTGATGCATAAAAAAAATAGTATGCACTGCATAAAAAATTTAATTTACAAAGATACCCTACCCTCCACTATTATGGTGAAAAAGATGTAAAAAAGGTTTTGAGGGGCAATTGGGTCTTTAATCATGCTAATGAATGCATTATAATCCTTGCTTTGCTAATACCTAAAAATTAATGGTATTAACTATACACACCTTAATATACTTTAGAGTGCAAGGTTTGAAAAGAGTACCAAAAAAGGTACTAGTAATACACAAGACTAATGCATGCATTATTTTTTCGAATACACTCTATCAAACGAGCCCTTATTCTCTCCACCCCTCTGGTGTGCTACTAAAATCTAACCTTCCTATCTCCAAAAGGCTTGCATATCTTACTGGATCCAAAAGTATATCTCACACTTGTTTTTACAACTGAATAGACAAAAATGAACCGTAAGAGAGGAAAAGTAAAATATAGCTTATCTAGCCTCATTTGGGTGTATGATGTGTTATAAGATTGTTATACTTACAATAACCTGTATTTATTAGGTTAATAAACAGAAATAAAAATAAGATGAAGCAGAAAAAAAATACAAGAAATAATCCGAGTCCACAGAAACTACTGTGTGTCCTTAAGAAATTTAATCCCCTCACTGTATCCAACGTTATGGATTAATTTCTCCCAAGATAAAACGGATTAACTCTGTTAAAGAAATAGCGGTACCTCAAATTTCTTTAACTTCAACGAACTTAAGAACAGCAACAAGTCACACAGACTCAGTCGATCGACACTTTGATTTTTATTTGAGGGAAAAATAAATGCAGAGAAAGAAAAATTTTCAGTGTTTGAAAAATCAAAAATTGACTTCCTTTTATAGCCATTTTTCAGCAAGGAACATGTCTGTTCAATGAAATCTGTTCAGACCCATTTTATCCAGAAAATTGTGTCTTTTGGAAAAAATAACAACTTTTCGAAAAAATGTGTCTGTTAGGTTCGGAAAAGTTACAACTTTTCGAAATGTTACCGTTACCCGCAAATTTAAAAGAGAAACAAGATTTATTTGCTTACGACGGCCCGAGGGGCATCCTCTTCTTATCTCTTTCAAGAAGTAATGGAAGTGTTTCCTTCTATAAGGACAACAATTTCCATTTCTTTTGCCGATATGGGAGAAATGACTTTTCATTTGCATTTTGCAAATGACTTTTCATTTTCTCTCCAAAGTAGTTCCCTCACTTTTCATATTCTCTCTTTTTTTTCCATTCACACTTGCTAAAACCCAACATGATGCACAAACACAAGGAAATTAGCTAGCTTTTGGAAGTATACAGAGCTTCAACTCAGTCAAATCACAAGGACACACCCTAACACGTACATGTACTAGATACAATAGCTAAGTGGCAAGAAAAGGATAAGCATAAATTTTTTTATGTTTTTTTGTTTGTTTGTTTTTTAAAAAAAAGTTAAACATTATTACCTTCAAGCGGGCAACAAGAGGGTCTTCCTTCAGAATCTCAGCAACAGAGGTTGCATGATCCTCGGTCTGTTCATCATCGATGATGGGGTCATTGTACTCACTATCAAACATTTCTGGATCATTCATATTGCGTCTTCCAAAATTCTGCCTTTCTGTTACTGTCTTTACATCTTGCGTGGCGCCATTCTTTTTCCTTAGCTGAGAAACGAGTACCCACATATTTGCTAAATCATTTTCCAGAGCTGCCTCCCTTCTCTTTCCCTCTTCAACCTTTTTCCGGTACTCATCTTCAAGTATTTCCTTCTCAACCAAGGCGGCCTCAAGAACTGCCTCACGTTGTTTTCTTGCCTGCAACTCCATTTTTAAATCTTTAGTATCTAGATCCCATGTGCCAAGTCCATCACGAACAACTCCAGGAACTTCACTTTCTCGGTCAGAAACCCGACTTCTACGTCCTTGCCATAGGTTTTCACCATGCTTTCGGTGGCGAACATTACCAGTGTGTGCAATGGTACTCCTAGAATTTAATGCCTGTCGAGCAGCCAACAGTTCTTTCTCGAGTTCTTTATTCTGTATCGATAGACTTGTCACTTCACCAGCCAAATTTTTAAGTTCAACAGCCGCAGCAGATGCTAATTCTTTTGCATATGAGGTCTCTTCAAACAATTTCTGGTTCTGTACTCGCAATGCACTACTCTCCTCTACACTCTGAACAAGTTCTAACTTCAACTTATCATTCTCTATATCCTGCTCAAGCAACAAACTTATCAGAATCATGTTATGGACACATTTAAAGAAAGGCAGTGACGTTGAAGTGTCTGTACTCACAATAACAACATACCCAGTGTCTGTAGATATCACACTAATAGAAGATTGAAGAACTCTAGTGTAGGAATGCTGAGTAATGCACGCTTTCATGCAGGCAAAGCAATTACTTTAACATAGAAAGATTAACCTAGAGAAACTGAATGGACAAAATGATTGTGTACCTAGGCTCCATCATGTACAGTGACTTAATACAAAATCTTGTCGTGGAATAGATATGGATGTCAAAGCAGAATGTTACAGCACCAGGCTCGGTATGTTTTTATAGAATAGAACAAATGTAAAAGACTAAGCATCACAGGTGATTTAAATTCCTAAGTTAAAAAATCTTAAACAATTCATTCACAAGAAGCATATCATCACGCATCCACTTCAAGGCATTTGCAAGTGCTACTAATGAGCCCCTTTCTTTTGCTTTCTTCAGGTTTTATATAAAGGAAAAAT